ATCTGTATTTTATTGGGTTCGATTAGATATTAATACTTTTTCATATCCACTGTTTATTAGTCAATGTAAATAAGTAAGCAACTTTTTTTTTAAACTGAGGTAACACACACTCAATGCCTTTTTACCTACGTTCATTGCCTCAGCCTAAACTTGGTACATGAGAATTTTGACAAAACGTTTTGAAAAGCCTGCTGCTCAATCATCCGCGGTAGTACAATTACGAATATGGTATTAATTACCATTTACCGTGTAATATGATTCAAGGTCAAAGATGTGATGAATTTTTATTTAGAAGCTACCTAAGTTGCGCACAATCTTTTTAAAACGAAATGTATGAAGTCGTAAAGACAGGGTCGTCTCAACTCATCCTCTGTCTCTCTGTCGTCTATATTTAGAGGAGTCTCTTGCAGCACGTTTGGGAGGGTAGATGATGTTTTGATGCTATTTACTGTGTTTATCCGATCATAATTTGACTCTTGGAAAAGCCATGTCGAACGTGTACTATTTTTTTGCTCATCCGTTTATCCTTCTATCAATAACATGTAAAAGTAATACAAATATTCTGAATTCAAAAATGTAAAAAGTTGGGGAGAAAGGCACCCGGCTTCAATAAAAAATAGATACACTGTCGCTCATATAGGTGGAATATTTTTGTTTTACCCCAATTCATGGAATTATCTAAAAAATAATTTAAAAATAATAGATCTAGATAAAAGTATACATTCTCAGATTTTATTGAATAATAATTTACAAATGTGTGTTTTGCGTGACTGCTAAAGCATGTGTATGCTTCTATGCTTATCAAATAGGGGACCTACGCCCTTAAGTAATAAATGACAGTAATGAGGATTAATGCCCCACAAAAGGGCACTAATATAGCACATCGACACGGTTTTGATCCTGGGGCCACACAGTTACGAGGCCATTGCTTCGTCACTGAACCATGACTGTACGCAGCGGGGGCTATCGTAGGGGGCAGTTTCCATAAATAAAAAAACAAACAGAAAATGCAATAATTTTTCAATAATTTATTGCATTTTACCCCGGTTCCCAACATAAACAAATCCTCTGTGTGCCCATGCCTTGAGCCATAATGCATGGCCACCCAGATAAAAAAAATTATGTTGGAAACCGGGGTAAAATGCAATAAATTATTGAAAATTTATTGCATTTTTTATTTATTTTTTATTTATGGAAACTGCCCCCTACCCTAGCCCCCGCTGCGTACAGTCATGGTTCAGTGACAAAGCAATGGCCTCGTAACTATGAGGCCCCAGGATCAAAACCGTGTCGATGTGCTATATTAGTGGCCTTTTGTGGGGCATTAATCCTCATTACTGTCATTTATGACTTAAGGGCGTAGGTCCCCTATTTGATAAGCCTAGTAGCATACACATGCTTTAGCAGTCACGCAAAAGACACATTGTCAAATTATTATTCAATAAAATCTGAGAATGTTTACTATTATCTAGATCTATTATTTTTAAATTATTTTTAAAATAATTCCATGAATTGGGGTAAAACAAAAATATTCCACCTATATGTACTATTAAATTGAATTTTGTAAAAAGCAGCACTCTTTTGAATATATAAGGTAGAACAAAATCAAGTTCAAGAATCTTAAAATTTCTCAATTTTGATATCGATTTGAAGAGATATTTAGCGACTAAGGGCAATTGACTCTTTGTATTGAGTTAATTTGTGTGAAAGCAGAATAAAATAAGAGAAACTGAATAGCGAAAATTGTAATTCGAACCAACAACAAGAACATTTTGAATCTTCCAATTATGTCATCACTATCAGTGGCGGATCTAGGGGGGAAGGGGGCACGTGCCCCCCCCCGGCCGAAAAAAAAATTAGGACTCACTACCCCCCCCCCCCCGAGCGAATTTTCGGCCGGCGCGATTTTAAAATTTGCGGGAGCAAAAAAAAATAATAATTGCCCCCCCCCCCCCCCTCTAAGAATCCTGGATCCGCGCCTGACTATATACATATATTTGCGAAGCTCACATCGGCAATTTGGTCAGTGGATTGTGGCGGAGATACAGACAACTCTCCCGTTTGTCGTGAACAAAAAATAACATTAATTGTTGTTCTTCTTATAAACACACTTTCCCTTGGTGTACTATTCAAAATATACTATGGATAGCATATATATTATATGTCCTTTTAAAAATTCACAATCTTCCTGAGTAAGACATTCGACAAATTGACATTTTATTCATTCGTGTGTTGGACAAAAATGGGAAAGATGTATTATACATTACAGTAACATTACCGATTCTGTCAATTTGAAATGCCCTTGCGTCATTTACGTATGGGGACTGCAACTTATAACAACTCAAAACGCTATTATTGGTTGTCCAATTTCGTTTAAACTTTCGCCAGACTGGTTCTCTAAATTTGTTTGCTTCATGTCAGAGCAGTTTGCTATTAAAGTTGGATTTTCCTCACGTGTGTTTCCCGGCCTTTGCTTCATGGGGAACGAGGAACATGTCTGAACAATGAAACCTGATGTATTAAAACATTTGTTTTTTAAACTTAACGAACCAAATTGGTTAGTTGGGAAAAGGGCTGAGATCATGGGAGTGCAATACGTCACTTTGTCTCATATGTTTGCATCATTCCAGATATTTCCAGTAAGAAGATCTCGCCATCATTGACCGTTCAACGATGTCGAGAAAAGTTGGAGAATAAGTACCTTAATCAATTGTGCAAAATTCCTATGAAACCGTGGGATAAAAGTGATTATGCCGAGTTCAAAGATATGCACACGGTTGTCACAATGGTGACGAAGGACGCTCGTGGACAAGACACTACAAAGAAGGAAATACTCCAGGGTTCTGTTGCTGACATTTTTTCGACGAAAGTAAACGGAAGACTGCCAGCTCGAATCCTCATTTCGGCCCCAGCTGGACGAGGGAAGACCACGGCTGTTGCTAAGATGGCATACGACTGGGTTCATAGAGAAAAGGGGTCAGCATTAGAACTACTGCCACTTCTGTTTGTGGTGAAATTCCGAAACACAAGTCAGCGTACATCGATAGGAGAAGCAATTAAATCCCAGCTTTTGAATGATGTTGATGATCTCACACCAGAGGGTCTGGAGAGTTTCATTAGAGAAAATCAGGGAATATGTCACATCATACTAGACGGACTAGATGAGTATGCAGGTATTTCTTCTTCAAACCGGAGCTCAGAGAGCAATATGGTCAGTGTCATCCGCTGGGAGGAATTTCCAGAGTGTCGGGTCCTTGTAACAACACGCCCTCACCTAGAGAACTTCTTCAATCAAGATGATCTTCCAACGGTATACACAAAGATGTGGATCGAAGGATTCTCGCAAGAGAGCTCACGAGAGTACATCGACAAGTTCTTTGCTTCAACTTTGAATCCTTGTCGTGGACATGGACATGGTCTGAAGGTTTACCTTGATGACCAACCACTGATTAATGAGCTTGTTAAAACACCTTTATTTTGTCTCATGGTCTGTCACTTATGGAGCGAGGGGATGTTAAACACTGAAACTGCAACTCAAACAGAATTATTAGACAGTGTGAATGATTTTCTGATGCACCATGCCAATGCCAAATCAAATTCAAAAGACGAAATAACAAAAGAAGAACTAATCGAAATCATTCGTAAACTGGGTAAGGTTGCTCTAGCTGGTCTAATAGACGACTCCAAAAAAATAGTTTTTACGCCCCATGATTTTCGAAAAATTCCTGCTATCCTTGATAGGGCATGTGAGCTTGGGTTGTTATCCAACATGACGATTCCGACGACAAGGCTCCCACAATCCCACAAAACCACTTCCACGACCATTGAGTTTTATCACAAACTCGTTCAGGAACACTCGGCTGGGAAATACCTTGCTGCTAAAACGAAGAAATATATGTTACGACTGAAGATTTCTAAGTTAGACAGACTGCTGCGAAACATCAAGGCAAACATCGGGGATTATGAGAATCTCATCCGATTTGCTGCTGGCACAGATAACAGCCTTTGCATACGAATAATGGAGGCGCTTCTTTCCAACCGCTTTTTGGATGAGAGCGAGCGATATCGCATTCTTCTTGACTGCTCATCAGAGACCAAGGGTACCGAAGGAAACGTGTCTTCGTTGGTTCAAAGATGTGTGAATGCAGAGAGTATTGTTCTGAAGTCACCGACTGTCTACACCGTCGTTGGGATGCAAAATCTTCCACAGCAACTTAAACGTCAGGTATGCACATTTTGATTTCACAAAATATGCTTACAATAATCATTTCATAAAGCTTGTTTAAATTTTCATTTCTCTGCTGCAACTATAAGTCAAAGAGCTAATATATTTGTGTAAATTTATTCTTATTCATAATTAACTGCATCGTAATAAATCATACTGCATGATACAATGATCAATACGTATGTTTATCATTCTATGTTTGCCCAACGACAGCCTCAAACAAGGTAGGCCTACTACATAACAGAAATAAAAAACAATAAATTGAAACAAAATGATAACAAAGGTCCTAGGGTCTAGTCATTTAGAGAAAAGACGAGGGACAGTCAATATATGCATGTAACTTACGTCAAACATAGGAGCCGTTTATTCAACTTGACAGATAATAAATGTTTTACTTATTAATGTAAATGAGTAGGGGAGGGAGCTCCCACTACTTACCGGATAATATTCTAAGATAAGATCAGGCTACAGTCTTTATTGCTTTAATGATTACCGCATAAGAACAAGAGATCAACTAATTAATGTTATTTAATTCTTACAATCTCTCTTTAAATCTCCTTTTCTTAAATCTTTCTATCTTAACGATAGGTTATGACTATAAAGTTAGAGGAATCTACTATAACTACCGGCGTGACGAGTGGACTGTGGTCCTGCCTGGGATCATTTTCGATGCTACGTACTCTGACCATCACAGACTCCTCTCTCAGTTTCCCTTCATCTACCCATGAGCTTCCATCCGTCACAAAGCTATCAGCTGAGAGAGTGACGTCACAAAGCTACGAAGGTCTGCTCTCATCGCTTCCTGGCTTGACATATATCGATATCGTTATCGATGATGCAGAGAGAGACATACCTCAGATCACGGCTTGTCTGCGTCGGACCGGAGGACAGCAGCTCACACGCATCAACCTTACAGCACCGGACTCACTCCCATCAGAGAAGCAGAGTGTATCGAGAGAGACGATGAGAGGACTGGGTCTTCTGATCAGAGAACAAACCAAGGACCTGCAGCGGCTTTGTCTGCCCGGAGTGAAGTGCTTGGACGAAGAAGACTTGGTTGAACTTGTCGAGTCGTCAACTTTGAAAGCATTGGATAGTCTGCATTTACAGTGAGATCGAGTAGATGTTCATACATTTATCAATGAAATTAAAGTAGACAAAATCAAACAGGAAGTCTAACTGTAAACTATTAAAGGCGACTAATAGTTTAGTTTGTGTGTGCTTTTGTTCCATCAAATTGCATGTTAACATCCTTGCACGTATTACGAACTATCAATTCAAGATCCGTAAAAATAAACACACTACACAAACTGCTGGAAATTACAAATATATTTGAAATTGGTAAGATGAAAGGAGGGGGCATGCAAATACTATCAAATATTCAATGCGATAATTTTCCATGGGAATCCTCCAATCCACCCCAGCTAGCTCAAGGGCTTCTCACGGGATTTGTGTATTGTGGGGGTCACTTGGAGTATCATTATTATATTGTTCTCAACTTCTCATAACCCTACTTATTTGCATCCCATACTGACAATGTAAACATTTACACAGTTATTTTCTTTTAAACTCCCACGGTACTATTCACAACGCCTGCCATCGTTTGTCATGCTAAATAAAGTCTTAAAGTCTCTACTTATTCAACTCACTAGGACCTGCTGCATGTTTTTATCAAACAATACTCACAGGCCGTGTCCGATATTTCATGAATCCCCCAAACAGGTGTGACGCAGGGGAGGGGGGGGGGGTTAAACCCCATAACATTTTTTAAAAGTTTAAAACAAAAACAAATCGGCGCGATTTTCAAATTTTAAAACCCTCCCCTTGAAAAAAAATCTTGCATACTGCCCCTAACACAATTCCCATACTTTTTGTGTTATTTTTCTTGTATTCGCTTCCAACTTTCTTTTTCAATTACTATAGATCTCTTGATGGTAGATGTTTCGAATACGATCGAGAATCGGGTTTCCAGGTAAGCAAATACGACTACAAATATTTAGGAAAGCGATTTACTATTAGCACCTGACGGGAAAACGCAAATCACTTTTTGTTCAAGTAATGCAATCAAAATAACTCTTACAGATACAAAGGCGTGAATGGGCAACAGCTTGTCATGTGATATCGATGGTGAGGATTGTAACTGGAATATTTATCTTCCGGTCAGTTGTCGATGGTTATATTGAACATTATGGTCAAATTAGTGTATTTTTTTAGTCATACCCTATCCAAACAACCCTATACTCGTACCCATTATTTACAATGCCATAGCAGCGCCCATTTGACACTAAGGTTGGACGGCTCGAGAAAAAAACCCACAATGCATGAAATGATAATTACCATTAATTTATGTTACCGAAGTGCAATCAAGGCTATATTATACTAATTGGATTAAAAGAATACAAACAAAAAAAGAAAAATCACAAGTGAGATATATTTCCCGCGTTATCATATTCCCGAGATCGCTGTGCGCCCTACTAGTCATGTATACTGATATTATCATTATTCATTTAATGTCCACCGTTATGCTTTAATCCAAAAGGGGGTTTCATTATGTACCCGGTTTCGCATAATAGCATTTACGTAGATGTAAAAATCTATTCTCTCTATGTTATCCATCCTGCAGGTTAGGAAATGTCGGCTATCTACTGAGATGACTGCCAGAATGTGGTCCTGTCTCAGATCCTTCATCTCACTGAACCATCTCACTATCTCAGACTCCTCTCTCAGTTTCACTCCATCTCCTCCTGAGCTTTTATCGGTCACAAAGCTATCAGCCGAGAGTGTGACGTCACAAAGCTATGAAGGTCTGCTCTCATCGCTACATGGCCTGGAAAAGATCGATATCACTATCGATGATGCAGAGAGAGACATACCTCAAATCACGGCTGGTCTTCGTCGGACCGTAGGACAGCAGCTCACAAGCATCAACCTTACAGCACCGGACTCACTCCCATCAGAGAAGAGCAGTGTATCGAGAGAGACGATGAGAGGGTTGGGTCTTCTGATCAGAGAACAAACCAAGAACCTGCAGTGGCTAGATCTGACCAGGGTGAAGTGCACAGACGAGGAAGACTTGGTTGACCTCATCGAGTGCTGCAGACGGGTGAAGACGATGTCATGCGTGTGGTAGGTTCTTGTTCAAATCTAGTATAAAATAAATTAAAATCCTACTAGATTATTCTATTCAGTTACTTTGCAGTAGTAAAGCATAATGATACAAATGCGTGAAAAGATGCAAAGGTTAAAACGTGGGTGTAATTTCCAAGTCTATGACTGAAAGTTAAGATGGGTTTTGTTTGATTATCGCTCTCAATAGGCCTGTTTACTAATGTATTCACGGACCTTTAAATTTGCACACGGTTGTAAGCTCTGGCAAACAAACCGAGCGCAGTGTCTGCTACGGCCCTGCTACACACACTTTGTATACGGCGATGTGGGGAATGCGAGGAAAAAAAGGCTGATCATCGTCGGATAAACTTCGTTTAAAACTGTTTGTTTTCCAACCTTAGGGTATATAATTAAAATAAATATAGTTTTTCTCAGTTGTATATGACAAATCTTCGATTTTATTTTCCGAAATCCGACGAAATATCGCAAAAATGGGAGGTAAGCATTGCTGTTACGGCACGTGTAACAGCGATTCACGGTACGCAGACAGACCCCATATGAATGGTGTGTTTTTCATCCCGTTCCCCAAACCAAAGACGAACCTGGAGAAGTGTAAAATATGGATTAAGAATTGTGGAAGAAAGGACTTTGGAATCGACATATTATATGCTTTGAGTTTCTTTCTGTCGTAGTCAGTTCTATTTACTATCAGGTAGTTGAAAATGTCGTATAATCCGAAATCTGGTATACTTTCAAAGTTCTCGGTGTAGCCGGTGATTTTCATTGGGTCGTCGAACGAGCACCCCGCACGCTCCAACTTCTCCCGCAGCGACCGTGCGGAGTCGAAGCTCGCAAGGTCCGGGTCTTGGGGCAAAGCGATATCGGCCACAGCAGTCGCAAGTTGAACTAGTTTCTGTTTGTTGTACCCTGATGTCGTAACTCCTCTCTTTCTTAAATAATCGGTGAGCTCCTTCACTGTCCACTGCGAAAACGGCTTGCTGGAACTACAACTCGATGTCGAAGGCGATGCCATTGTAGAAATTAGGGTGAAAAAACGTCGCGGTCGCTAGCAATGGCTTTGTATGTGTATAGCGTAGCGGGCATGGAAAAACAATGTGGCGACCGTGCCGCACCACGCAAAGCTTGCCCTACGTAGTAACAATCGCTAGGGTGCGAGGGATTATGACGTCACTCGCATATCATTAGTAAACAGGCCTATTCTTATTTTATAATTTTTAAGTAGACTAGGGCTTAGTCACTAGCAATGAATATAATTTGAATGCCTGTATTAAAAATCCAAAATTGTTGGGCACATAGACCTAGCTAGATCTACATGTAATTGATCGACGTCCTGGGGAGGGGTCTAACAAAGTTCAACCAAGCCCCCCCCCCCCGTGGCTACGTGCATGAATATCTTTGAAAATATATTTTTTATTAAAGGCTGAATCACTTTTGCCTTTAAACTGATGCTCTTGAGCTGTTTTATCGAATCAAATTTAGCTAGAATCGATCTTGATAAATTTAAGGTTAAACAAAGGGCTCTGTGATCAAGGCTAGTCGATGTTACTTAGTTCAACCACAAAATTGCGTCGCTAAACTACTGCAAGAGAGGTCCTCAAAAAGTGAGTTAATTCCATTTTCTTCTAAAATATTCATTCTGTTGAAAACAAATTTTGGTGGAAGGAAAGTATTCTTCTCATTTTTAACCGAACGATATTTGACATAAATATCAATACTAGATCTAGTAATAATAGGGTATAGCGTTCCCCAACTTCTGAGCTAAAAATAAGATGGACGAATTGCATTGGTTCATGCATTTCCGTCCCATTCATTACATCCATGCATGTCCAACTCTACTTGTCTAACGACATTGAATATTTGGTTATGACAGGTCTGAATTAATTAGGAAATATAGTTTATTCTTGCGTTTGATGACAAAATAAATAAGTCCACCACGGCTTTAGAAATCATCGCGTTGAATGGTCGCCGATAAAAAGTCTAGTGCGTAGAATCTATGCCTAGATCTAGACTATAATTGAGGTTAAGGCTCAGTTTCCAAATCTAGACTAGGGTCTAGGCCTACTTTGTTATTTGCCGGTAGGCAGTGCGGTAGGTCCTTTTTCATGTTGATAATAACATTAACAATCGACGGGGTCATTGTTTCAACGTTAACATTTTATGAAAGAAAAAAAATTGTCTCCACAGTTTCAGACCCAAGACCAAGTTAGATCTTGATTAAGAATAAGATCTTAATGTAGCTTTGGTCTGCATCATTATACTAGATCTAGGGACTAAGGGTTGATGTAGTCTAGACCTAGTCTCTACACTGCACCTTTTGTGCAGGATTAACTTAGATACATCAGAATTTAGAGTTAGTCCCTTAGTCCTAGATCAGCTAGACTACTTGTATGTTTGTGAGATCTAAATTAAACAGGAGTTAGATCTAGTCTACATCTAACAGTAACAAGTTCGATTTTAGACTAGATATAGATTCTAGGTCTAGAATGTTATGTAGTAGGCTCAGAGGCGGCGGAGCGACTTCCAAAGTGGGGGGGGGGCACCAACAAAAAAGGGCACTTTCTGGAAAAAAGGGCAACTTTAAATGGAAATCTCAAAGGGAAAATATACAATTTTTTAGACATTGGTATATACACCTATATTGTGATTACATTATCGGGGATGATTTCAATATTTGTTTTTATTTATACATCATATAAGATTTTGCGTATCATCTTTGCAATTGAGTGTGATGGTCTAAAAATTCATTTGCGAGCGAGCAAAGCGAGCGAGAATTTTTTTAAAAGATTTATGAGGTCGCAGTGTAAAAAAATACATCTTATAAAGATTAATGACCCAATCCTGATGGGGTTATATAAGCACATTCTCATAACGGAAGACTGAAAAGATCTTTGATAAGTTACATAATCATAACATCTATAACTACGAGCGAGCGTAGCGAGCGAGCCTTGGAGAAAATTGCTTTTAGTCGCTTGAAATTAGGGGCACGTTTGATGATGAGAGGAAAAGGGGACACTTATCGAAAGGGTTAAGACAGTTATTAGAAAAGAAAAGGAGCACGTGTCAGAGTACAAAGGCTAATTATCAGAGGTGAAAATGGGGCACTTCTTACACCTAAAAAAAGAGGCATGCACCAGGGATGAAAAGGAAATGGGCATTTGTCGATGGAAAAGAGGCGCCCATTAGATTTTGATAGGGGGCATTTATAAGAAGTGAAAAGGGGCATTTACGAAAAAGGGATAGGGTCTTTATTAGAAAAGAAATTGGGCACATATCATTGTTAAAAGGGTAATGAGAAGGGGGAAGTGGCTCTTATTAAAAGGAAAAAGAGGCACATATTAAAATAAACGGGGCACTTATCAAATACGAAAAGGGGTAATTATGAGAAGGAGAAGGGACACTTATAAGGAAAAAAAAGAGCATTTATTGGGAAGGAAAAGGGGGACGTGTCAAAATAAAAGGGGCATTTATAAGAGATGAAAAGAGCACTTATCAGGAGGGGAAGGGGTACTTGTCAAAGTAAAACGAGTATCTCTCAGAATTGAATAGGGTCATTTACAAGGGATGAAAAGAGGCACTTATGAGACTGAAAAGGAACTATTTTCATGGATGAAAAGGAAAAGGGGCATTTATGAGAAGGGAAAAGGGCTCTTCTTTAAATGTGGGCACTTATCATAAGCAAAATGGGCACTTATTAAAAGGGAAATGGGGCACATGTGAAAATATAAGGTGCGCTTATCCAAGTTAAAAAGGGGAAGGGGCACTTTTTACAAAGGAAAAGGGGCACTTCTCGTATCTAAAAAGGGGAACTTACTAGAGATTAAAAAAGGCACTTATGAGAATGGAAAATGGACACTAATTATTGCAAAGGAAAATGGGAACTTTTCAAAGGAAAAGGGGCACTTTTCCTCTGTAAAAAGGGGTACGTGTCAAAATAAAAGGGGCACTTATCAGAGGTGGAAAGGGGAAGGGGCACTTTTCAAAATAAAAGGGGCACTTTTCCTCTGTAAAAAGGGGCACTTGTCAAAGTAAAAGGGGCACTTTTCCTATGCAAAAAGGGGCACTTTTAGGGTACTTGAAAAAGTGGGAGGGCACTGTGCCCCCCCCCTGCCCCCCCGGGAGCGCCGCCTCTGAGTAGGCTCATGTATCGAGCTCTATATTTTGTTTTCTTCATTTCATTTTTCTTTCAGAGTCAGAGATGGAGTGGACATGGACTCTTGAGTCATATCCAAGAAATAGACCTCTATAGTCTTCAACGTCTCTCATCCTACCTCTGCCCCGAGGAAAGGATATGGATCTGCATAATGTAATCTGGTTCAAGGTGTACTGCAAGATCCTACCATACTAAGTGGCCTTTTGATGTGATTATCTTAGCAAAGTTTGAACACCGACATGAAATAAGGGTGAGGTTCTTTTTCTTCTTCATGTTCTAGACCTACATAGAAATAAAGTACTAACTTTTTGTTCAGTTTATAGTCTTTTATATTCATTTATGATAAAGGGTTAAGATACCGGATATTGGATTTTTCAATAACAAACTGAAAATGTTGCGTTCTGAATCTATTAGGAAGCCAACCATGACAGGTCAAAAACATAGATACTTGATCAGCCAGATTTTGATCAATTGTGCATAGAATAGGGAAACAGTGAAAGTATAAAGATGTGATTGAACAAACTCTAATTAGCATATTCATGATGTAAGCTGTTTTCTGTTCGTTATATACCATTTAAGGCATCTCTTTTACTTCTATTCCCCAGAGAGTAGTTTTAATCAAACTCTGTACAATAGGGTTCGGTTCAAGATCAGAGTATCCATGATTAAGATTTGACTGTTGTTAGTTTGATATTACAAATAAAAGCTCTAGTTCAAGATCAAGATTTTAAAGAAATGTTTGGGATCATAGTCAAAAGCAAGATAAGTCCAGAGTGTATAGAAGTTTCCACATTACACAGTCCACCATAATGGGTTGGACCAAAAACATTTTAATTACAATTAGAATCACTGACGAAAATATGCTTTTGTTCAGTTGAACACATTAAATTAGGTAAAGTGACAACTATTTTTCTGAAAAATATATTTGCTCTCTTCATGAAATATGTTTATCTCCGTTTTCAATCTTAGGTTGCAAAGTAAAGAGCTGTAGCATCTACATGAACTGCAAAACTCATGGCATCTGGACCATTCATACCTAAGGTCTTATTCATCTCTTCAAGTTGAAAAGGTAAGGGTAATGGTTTACCAGTAAACTTAATTGATCGTATTAGTGTGTTTTGTGCCTGTCATCATTGCCATGCCTCTACAGTAATCGATATGAAAGAGAAAAAAAACCCAAAGAGTAAGTACAGTTTTCATAGTCCTTGTTAGAGATCTAATTCAGATTGTATCTATTGTATAAAACATACACAAATGGTTATGCGATTTTTCTTTTCCAAAGCCTAAAAATAAATTATTTGTTATTTTTTCTTAACTTAAACTGCTTTCGTATCAATATTTTCAAAGAATGTTTTATATCATTCTACTTTATATATTTTCCAATCAAAGAAATTGACATGACCAGAAATACAAAGTTGTAGAAAGATTGAACAATTACAGTAGTAGTTATTAATTGTTTTATTACATAAATTTGTATTCCAAATTCTAGACTGCAGTGCCTGAATCCCCTGCAACATTATGCTTCATATGGAACATCAGCCAGCCTACAGCTCTCCTTTCCAGCTCTAAGCAAGAGGGACCACAATTCTAAACAGTTCGTGGACTTGTCGCTTTTTTCAACTACGACTTCCATTGAAACAGATTTTCAGATTAATTCATCTGAAGCTATTAAAAATGCTTCAGTCAGGGTACCATGGGTTTGCCATCATGCAGTTTGCCATGAGTATGAGATTATTGGTTTCATAAGAATTTATTAAGTAAGGTCTAAAAGAACTAAGATTTTCAATGATAAATCCAAGAATTTTATTATTTTAAATAGAATGTCAGAATCTTGCGGAAGAAAGAGCAAAATACTAGTTATAGGATTAAGGATAAAACTAAAGTCATTATCCATATTAAGTTAGCGCTGTTATTTCAGCCTGCACTTTCGAGAAATATTTTATTAAGGGTTGTTGCTGATTTTAAAATCTATGATTCTGTCATGGAGGTTTACTGTTTTTAAACTTACTTTACATAGACAAATCCGTTCATGGTGATGAATCTTAAAATATCAAATTTCAAAGGGGCAAATTAATCTGAGCAGCAGTGGATAAATTTGAGGGCCTATTTGGAACTTTCCCTAAAGGTTTTGTTGGCATGACCATGTGTTGATGATTACCTGTTAAAGCCTCAATTGAATATTTTTATCATTTGCCTAAGAACAGCATCACAATAAACAACTGAATAATGTTACTGCAGTGAAAACATTCTGGCAGGAAATTATATCAACTCGGATTTATATTGTCCTAAGAAAATCACAAACTGCATGACCTCACATGAGAATGTGTATATGCCTTAGATTAACAACCATATAGGTAAGACCAGTCTTTAGCACAAATGTTATTCCTTTAATCTCCATCAAATTACACCGAGTAGACAGTGGCATTTATTAGCTGCAATGGCTTACAACTGGCTGTATGTAATGAAAGGAATTTTATCCAGGCGAGAAGGGAAATGTACTACTCAAAGGAAATGTACTACTCTAAGGTCAATTAGAGGTAGCCAAGCGTAGGATGCATTATTTACATTTAACACACACAGTATATGGGGGTTTTGATATGCATGATTTTGGGTTGGCTATTGAATGTAGAGAGAAATAGAAATAGCTGGGAAACCAAGAAGGTTTTTAATGTTAAGGACCTGGAAAAGAAATGGTAAAAGTAAGTTGCTGTAGAATAATGGGCAGAACCCTTCAAGTCAGTGCTACGGTGCAGACGTTTAATGCACGAGGTAGTTTTATTTAGTGGCAGAAACATTATTCTTGAGAAAGACTTGTTACGTCGGGACGAGATAAGCTGTCAAGTCGACGGGGATTCTACGCAGTCTAGAGACTGGCCAAGCGAACAGGACCAGGAGGGACTCACGAGATGGAAGCTGCCCTGTTATAAAGTTATGTTCCATTAAATTGTTTATGTGCTGTTGATTTTTTGTTGACGCCACGATTTGTTGGCTGAATATTAAACCTTTATTTAAACTTATACAATTGTGTCCTGGTGTGGTTTTCTGATGAGGTAGCAGTGTAAATAATTTAAAAAAAGTCACTCACGTGACACTGTACTTCAATAGCAGTACTTTCATTTGTGTCATTGAAAATGTTTTTATTGTATCCCTTGAATTAATTTGCTATTGCTCAACATATACAAAGTGTAGATTTCCGTGCATTCAAGCAAAATAAAAACGATTATACTTTAAAGCTTGACAAATCTGTGTGAATTATATTTTCTATTTAAGCAATGTACTGTTTTTCATTTAAAAAGAAAAAATGGAGTTGGGGAAAAGAATGAATGGATGAGATTGGACTCTAACGCATGGTAGTTATCATGAAATGATGTGATTCAATGATGGTGTGTTCGTTTGATGGGGAGTATTCAAATAACCTAGCAAAGCTTTTATATTGTTTTACTTTATTCATTTATTCCTTTGTTCCCTTTTTTCTTTTCTAGTTTTCATTTTTTTTTTGTGGGGGGGGGGGATGGAACGAGTTCAAATGGGAGTGTGCATGGGGTGGGGGGGGGTGGGAGAGAGATTATATGAATGGAATAAGGGCACAAATATAAAACATATGGTAATTAATTGCCCCTAATTGGCAATTAATTTCGTAAATAATTCTCCATTTTCCGATACATAACTAAATTGAAGTTGGCCGTCGTTTACGCCTTTCAAGCAAATCAATGCTGAACATATCGGATTAATACTAGGATATTGTTTTCGTCCGTTTTCTTTTGAACAGGGTTACTCAGGCTCTTAGTATTAAATGTGATTTCCTGAGAGGCCCTGGACAAATTATATGTCAAAAATACAGAGGAAATTGAACAAAGTTTGAATACGTATTACCTATGATATCATGGATTATTTATTTACGTTTTTTTCAAACATTATATAAACAATTTTTTGTATAGATATTTGACCAGCTTAAGCAATATTACATATTTCCTTTCGAAACGAAGATAAATAATTAAAGTGGGAAAGCTGAACTACTCGTTTAGTTTGTTACTCCTGAAAAGAACCATCTCTGGAATTTGAAAAGAAATGATACCTTTTATCTTGAAATTTATTTTAAAGCTTCAATCTTTTTTTTTAAATTTCATTATGAAACATGTCTTAAAATCAAATACAATTTAAGGCCTTGAAAATTGATCCGATTAATTTTAATATCAATTTCAAGGCCTCATGAAACTTCCCCTGATCTATCCCCTTCCCTCTCCACCTCCCGGAGTATGTGTATGTTGTTGCTAATCATTAAATAAGGCCTACACAACTAAATCGTTCATGGAAAGAAAAAAAAAATCAGATATATAAATCCCAACATGAAAATACTAATAGTATCACAGTTTACGCATTCTCTGTCTGTTTCTATTTCTTAATTTCTTAGTTCTTTGTATGTCTCTCTACTATATATTTTCCTCTCTCTCTCTTTCTCTATCTATCCCCCTTTTATCGCGCTCTTTCTTTCTCTCTCTCTATCTCTCTCTTTCTGATTTGTTCTCTTTACTCTAACAGCCAACGCACCTAATACCTCTATCACTATGTTTTCTGAACATAGGTTATACCACTGTGGAACTAGAAAGCTCGGCAGACTGGAATCTCATCTCAAAGGTCTTCAACAAGCACCATCAAGAGGCATCCTCTCTGTGTTGCTTCGTCATGTAAGTATTGCTCCACATTGTATGCACTTTACACTTTCACCATTTCTCATTTTCATCTGTATAACAATCGCTTTGATGCTAATATTGTTCAGTATTGTCATTTTCGATATCTAATTTCTAAATTTATTTACATGTTTAGGCCTATTTTATTTGTTAACAATTCCTTTCTGTTATATTTTTTCTACAAAATTATTTCCTTCTGCTTCATAAGTTTTCAAACTTTTTCTTTTTCTTTTGAGTTCTCGTATCAGATTCTTTTGTCTCTGTCCCGGGTCTCTGTCTTTATTGTTGTTGATGATTGTTATAATAATAATAATAAACAATATTTATAAGGCGCTTAATACTGGTGTCTCTAAGCGCACCATATTCTGACTTAACACACACTAATAAATAACCAACTTATACATCTGTTCTTTATTCAATAAATCATGCATATATAATAACAAAAAATAAGATAAGAGTGAGATCAAACATACATACAAGAGGTCAAACATAGGATCAAACATAGGATCAAACATAGGATCGAACACACAAAAATTAAGACGGTGTGCACCTCCTTTGACCGACTCACAACTGCAGAATATTATTTATGAATTAAAAAGGTGCGTTTTCAGCAAGGACATGAATTGGTCGAGAGAATGAATAATATGAAAGTGCGCTGGTAATTTGTTCCAAAGGATAGGGGCATTTACTGAGAAAGCTCGATCGCCATATTTTGTAACGGTACGAGGTCCGAGGGTTAACTGCAAGGTTGATGATGATCGAAGAGTTCTTAAAGAACTAGAAGAACGTAAGGAAATCAAATCTGAAAGATATTTAGGGGCTTGGCCATTGTTATCCCATTTCCTAGACACCAAATGCTCAACAGAATATCGAAACGTTGCTAAATGACTTAATTCATAATTCTTCTCTCCCATGTGTTCCTATTATATTTGTACACGTACTTCACTTTGTTTCTACTGTCTAGATTTGCACTTCAACATGTTATCAAATATTATCTTTGTTTTCGGTGTTGTTTCAATGGTACGACTTTTAGTATGATTTATTATCTTTATTCCTTGCATGAAATTGAGATTGGTTATTTCTTTAATCACTTCATTGCTGGCTCTTTTTTTTCGGGGGGAGAGGGGGGGGGGGGGGGCTGCCACTATCGTTATACCATGAGCTCATTCACTTAACCTTAATTTGCTTTTTTTGTGTTTCATTTTCCCTTTTAATTTTTTTCCATTTAATTGTTATTTGCAGTTGTGCTACCATTCTTAAACCATTTCTTAATTCTACCATTGGTTATTTCTGAGTTTAATGTTTTATGTTTTTGAATATTGCCCCCTCCGCCATTTTGCTCTCCGTTTGACTCTTTCTCTCTATTCGGGGCGCTATTTATCTGCAACAAAGTCGGCGCTCAATGGGAGGGGGTGCAATACCCCTATTTCTTTCAAATACACCAGAAGTGCTTCCTTTTACGGAAGAAAAGTGTTAATTTGCATTGTGCCGCTCTTCTTTTTTAAAGTGTCCCTTCTCCTTTTATTATGTCCCCCTCATCAAATTTGCAAGGTGCCTTTTAATTTGACAAATGAACCTTTTCCTCCTTACGAATTCCCCTCTCCCGTTTTTTTAACTGCCCATTTTCATTTCTGATGTATGCCTTTTTTTTACAACTGACTGAATGACTTATAGGTTTATTGAGAACATTCCATGATCTTAATCATACAACGAACTTGACATGAATAACAATAACAATCATGCACGTGTTTACAAACATATGCTGCAAATTGTCAAAATGATATATATATATATATATATAGACCATGTAAAATATTCATCATTAATGAGAAAGAGAAGAAGCTAAAGGCAAAGGAGAGAAGAGATTAGTAAAAGAGTAGAGAACTAAGCTAAGCAGAGCGACCGAGGAAGGAAAAGAGCGCCAGATAGGT